GGGCAGAGGACACACCTGTGCAGGGCAGAGGACACACCTGTTCAGGGCAGAGGACACACCTGTGCAGGGCAGGGGCTCACACCTATGCAGGGCAGAGGACACACCTGTGCAGGGCAGGGGCTCACACTTGTGCAGGGCAGGGGGCTCACACCTGTGCAGGGCAGGGGCTCACACCTGTTCAGGGCAGAGGACACACCTGTACAGGGACGGGTCTCTCTTGAGCACTTCAATGCCCACGTGCTGCTCCATGAGGCTGTACAGGAGAATCGGGAGGGAAGTGAAGCTGATGTTGTAGAGAGTCAGATACGCAGTATCGTACAAAGTCTGCAAAAGGAGAAGCTAGCTGAGTGGGGCTCCGGGTGGCTTTAACAGACCGCCGTTAGGAGTTAGCACGTTACTGTGTGTGTGTGTGTGTGTGTGTGTGTGTGTGTGTGTGTACATGCCAGAGGTCGGCATCATGTGACCTGGAGCTCACTGATTCAGCTGGAGGGGTTAGCCAATGTGCCCCGGGGGTCCTCCTGCCTATTTCCTTACCACTGGCTTATGCCGCTATACCCAGCTTGGTACAGGTGCTGGGGATCTGAACTCAGGTCCTCAGGCTTTTACAACAAGAACTTTACCAACCGAGCCACTCCCCTAGGCCCTGAGTACGTTACTCTTCAACCTGTAAAGAAGCTTGGACATATAGGAAGTGCCCCTAAAACATGTAAATGCCACTATTCTACAGAGACAGACCACTGGGACAGACTTCAAACTCCATGACGTAAATTCATCAGGTTTAAAATTCAGGTCCAGGCAGAGCTTGGACCCCAAATTTTGCAGTTCTGTTCACTTTCACATTTTCTAGCTTCCATGAGCCTGGTCCTGGTGGCACCAGATATAAGTCATTGACCACTATCCATCTGAGCACATGGTGCAATGTGTGGGGACAGGAAAGTGTCTGCCCAGGCAGCAAGTACTGAGGCCCCTCCTCCCAGGCCACATCTGTCTTATCCTGCATACTTCAGTGCCTCAGATCCAAAATGACCCCCACACCCATGAAGGTTCCGGTGTGGGGGCAACCCCTCCAATGTCACCATACAGCCCAACCCAGATGCCCATCAGCGATGGCTTGTGTTTAGGAACATGTCAGCCTCATGACATTCAGTCTGGGGGTCGCCAACTCCTCAGCTCCATAGCCTGACCCTTCACCTTTGTTGACAGGCCCTGGGGCAGCAGGATGGATGCACCTGGGCCCCCAGATCTCCATGGGGGTCTGTCTGCATGTTCCTGAAGAGTGTTCCCTCACTACAGCCACCCGCTGGGAAGGAAGACAAGACTGATGAGCTTCCAACTCATGACATCAGACTAACCTGCTGTGAAAATCCGCAGAAGAACTGGTACAAAAACTGAGGGAAAATGAAGCAGACATTCTGAAAGGCAAGTCAGGCCATTAGTTCAAGGGCAGGCACTCTTCAGAGATGCACGGGCTTGCCTAGAGCTCACAAGCCATGGTCAACACACTAGGTCACATGAGGACTGTCCCAGCCTGGTGGGCTTTGGAAATGCTTCTCTTCCCTGTGTGGTAACTGAAATGGACACATCCATAGTGCGGCCCTGGTGATCACAGGCAGCGGAAGGTGACACTCTGGCTTAAGAGGGAAGGCGGCGGCACCAGAGGCCAGCAGCAAGGACCTGTCTGCGTGGAGGACTGCAGGGACCTGCGTGCGTGGAGAGGACTGCAGGGACCTGTGTGCGTGGAGAGGACTGCAGGGACCTGTGTGTGTGGAGAGGACTGCGGGGACCTGTCTGCGTGGAGAGGACTGCGGGGACCTGTGTGCGTGGAGAGGACTGCGGGGACCTGT